TTCAGAACTGTAGCAAACTTGACTTCTAACTAGACTCTCCCCTGCGGTATAAATAAGATACGACAAAGCAGACATATTTGAAGCGTACAGCGTCTGGGTTTTGGCAATATGTGGTATAACCACTGTGATCAGTGTACGTATAGTGCATTTTCATCCTCCCCAAAGCTCTTCCCGGTCAAGTCTCAGCTCTCTGCCCCTAGCCTTGGCACCTATTGATTTGCTCTGTTTTTGGTAGATGAGATTTGTCTTCCGTAGTGTTTCATGTAAATGGAATCATACTGCATGTAATTTTTGTGCCAGATTTTTTCAATTATACTGTTTGTGAAATTTGTTGTCTTTCTCTTTTATTACTGAGTAGTGTTCCGTTGTATGGATATATGCAGTTTTTTAATCCATTTACCTGTTGGTGGTCATTTGGATTGTTTATAGTTTTTGGCTCTTTTCAGGGTCTGCAAACTAAGTGGCCATCCACCTGTTTTTGTAAAAAAAGTTTGTTTTATTGGAAAGCAGCTATGCCCAATCCTTTCACGTTGTTTGCAGCTGCTTTGAGGCTACAGTGGCAGAGATGAGTAGTTATGACAGACCAACCACATGGCCCTCAAAGCCTAGTTTGTTACTAGCTGACATTTAAGCAAAGAGTATCAACCCTGCTGTTACATTTTGATAAAGCTGCCATGAACATTAGGGTATAGGTGTTTCTGTGGACATAAAACATTTTTCTTTCAGTTCTTAGAACTGGAATTGCTGGGTCATACAGAAGATATATGTTTAAGTAAATAAGTTGAGTTTTTAAGAAATTGTTTAAAAGAATGAAGTCATGTGGTGGGGATAATGTTTAAGTATATAAAAAATTATCTGCAGTGATGGTACCATTTTATTTTTTTCCCAGTGATGTGTAAGAGTTACATTCACTCCATTTCCTCTCAAACATGTTGTATTTTCAGTTTTAAGACAGATTTTAGCCAATCTAGTAGGTGTACAGTAGTATCTCAGTGTGGTTTTAATTTGTATTTCTTTATGACTAATGATATATTTTTATGTGCTTTTTGTTCACTTTTATGTCTTTGATTAAAAGTCTGTTAAAATCTTTTTCCTTTTGGTTTTGAATTTTGTCTGTAGTTAGGTAGTAAGAACTATTTGTATATTCTTAATGCAGGTATGTTATTGTTTTGTGAATATTTTCTCCATTCTGTGGCTAAAAAGTTTTTATTAAAAAGGCTTCATTTTAGTTCTCCAGTTTTCTAGTTGTTTTAAGTGGGAGGGTAAATCTGGTCTGCTTTGTTAGGGCGGGGACAGTGGATTTATTTTTCTTCATTGCTGTATCCCTAGTGGCTAGCATAAAGTGTTGCAAAAGCTAGCATCCAAAGGTCTTTTCTGAATGAATTAGAATTAAGAATAACAATAATAGGAGGCATATATCACCTAGACCAGTTTTTTGAGAGTAAATGAGTTCTTTTTCTTTGTTACAATTCTTATCAAATGGATGAAAAGTAAACATTCCTTTGTTCTTGTTGAAGTTTAAAGGGTGACAGTGATGCATTTGGTCTTGGTGGCAGCACTCAGTCTTCTAGAAGGTCCTCATCATTTTGTGCACAAGTATTCTGCATATTACAAAATATAATCAAGCTTTCTTTTGTGTTCTCAGAACCAATTTGTTTTATAGGTATCATTTAGTCATTGCAGAGCAGGAAAAAAAATTTTATTTTTTTTTTAACATCTTTATTGGGGTATAATTGCTTTACAATGGTGTGTTAGTTTCTGCTTTATAACAAAGTGAATCAGTTATACATATACATATGTTCCCATATCTCTTCCCTCTTGCGTCTCCCTCCCTCCCACCCTCCCTATCCCACCCCTCTAGCTGGTCAAAGAGCACCGAGCTGATCTCCCTGTGCTATGCGGCTGCTTCCCACTAGCTATCTATTTTACTTTTGGTAGTGTATATATGTCCATGCCACTCTCTCATTTCATCCCAGCTTACCCTTCCCCCTCCTCATGTCCTCAAGTCCATTCTCTACATCTTCATCTTTATTCCTGTCCTGCCCCTAGGTTCTTCAGAACCATTTTTTTAAGATTCCATATGTATGTGTTAGCATACGGTATTTGTTTTTCTCTTTCTGACTTAATCTCACTCTGTATGACAGACTCTAGGTCCATCCACCTCACTACGAATAACTCAATTTCATTTCTTTTTATGGCTGAGTAATATTCCATTGTATATATGTGCCACATCTTCTTTATCCATTCATTCGATGAGGGGCACTTCGGTTGTTTCCATCTCCGGGCTATTGTAAATAGAGCTGCAATGAATATTTTGGTACATGACTCTTTCTGAATTATGGTTTTCTCAGGGTATATGCCCAGTAGTGGGATTGCTGGGTCATATGGTAGTTCTATTTGTAGTTATTTAAGGAACCTCCATACTGTTCTCCATAGTGGCTGTACCAATTCACATTCCCACCAGCGGTGCAGGAGTGTTCCCTTTTCTCCACACCCTCTCCAGCATTTATTGTTTCTAGATTTTTTGATGATGGCCATTCTGACTGGTGTGAGATGATATCTCATTGTAGTTTTGATTTGCATTTCCCTAATGATTAATGATGTTGAGCATTCTTTCATGTGTTTGTTGGCAGTCTGTATATGTTCTTTGGAGAAATGTCTATTTAGGTCTCCTTCCCATTTTTGGATTGGATTGTTTTTTTGTTATTGAGCTGCATGAGCTGCTTGTAAATTTTGGAGATTAATCCTGTGTCAGTTGCTTCATTTGCAAATATTTTCTCCCATTCTGAGAGTTGTCTTTTGGTCTTGTTTATGGTTTCCTTTGCTGTGCAAAAGCTTTTAAGTTTCATTAGGTCCCATTTTTTTATTTTTGTTTTTATTTCCATTTCTCTAGGAGGTGGGTCAAAAAGGATCTTGCTGTGATTTATGTCATAGAGTGTTCTGACTATGTTTTCCTCTAAGAGTTTGATAGTTTCTGGCCTTACATTTAGGTCTTTAATCCATTTTGACCTTGTTTTTGTGTATGGTGTTAGGGAGTGATCTAATCTCATACTTTTACATGTACTTGTCCAGTTTTCCCAGCACCACTTATTAAAGAGGCTGTGCTTTCTCCACTGTACATTCCTGCCACCTTTATCAAAGATAAGGTGACCATATGTGCGTGGGTTTATCTCTGGGCTTTCTATCCTGTTCCATTGATCTATCTTTCTGTTTTTGTGCCAGTACCATACTGTCTTGATTACTGTAGCCTTGTAGTATAGTCTGAAGTCAGGGAGCCTGATTCCTCCAGCTCCGTTTTTCGTTCTCAAGATTGCTTTGGCTATTCGGGGTCTTTTGTGTTTCCATACAAATTGTGAAATTTTTTGTTCTAGTTCTGTGAAAAATGCCAGTGGTAGTTTGATAGGTATTGCATTGAATCTGTAGATTGCTTTGGGTGGTAGAGTCATTTTCACAATGTGGATTCTTCCAATCCAAGAACATGGTATATCTCTCCATCTATTTGTATCATCTTTAATTTCTTTCGTCAGTGTCTTATAATTTTCTGCATACAGGTCTTTTGCCTCCTTAGGTAGGTTTATTCCTAGATATTTTATTCTTTGTGTTGCAAAGGTAAATGGGAGTGTTTTCTTGATTTCACTTTCAGATTTTTCATCATTAGTGTATAGGAATGCCAGAGATTTCTGTGCATTAATTTTGTATCCTGCAACTTTACCGAATTCACTGATTAGCTCTAGTAGTTTTCTGGTAGCATCTTTAGGATTCTCTATGTATAGTATCATGTCATCTGCAAACAGTGACAGCTTTACTTCTTCTTTTCCGATTTGGATTCCTTTTATTTCCTTTTCTTCTCTGATTGCTGTGGCTAAAACTTCCAAAACTATATTGAATAAGAGTGGTGAGAGTGGGCAACCTTGTCTTGTTCCTGATCTTAGTGGAAATGCTTTCAGTTTTTCACCATTGAGGATGATGTTTGCTGTGGGTTTGTCATATATGGCCTTTATTATGTTGAGGAAAGTTCCCTCTTTGCCTACTTTCTGCAGGGTTTTTATCATAAATGGGTGTTGAATTTTGTCAAAAGCTTTCTCTGCATCTATTGAGATGATCATATGGTTTTTCTCCTTCAGTTTGTTAATATGGTGTATCACATTGATTGATTTGCGTATATTGAAGAATCCTTGCATTCCTGGGATAAACCCCCCTTGATCATGGTGTATGATCCTTTTAATGTGCTGTTGGATTCTGTTTGCTAGTATTTTGTTGAGGATTTTTGCATCTATGTTCATCAGTGATATTGGCCTGTAGTTTTCTTTTTTTTGTGACATCCTTGTTCGGTTTTGGTATCAAGGTGATGGTGGCCTCGTAGAATGAATTTGGGAGTGTTCCTCCCTCTGCTATATTTTGGAAGAGTTTGAGAAGGATAGGTGTTAGCTCTTCTCTAAATGTTTGATAGAATTCGCCTGTGAAGCCATCGGGTCCTGGTCTTTTGTTTGTTGGAAGATTTTTAATCACAGTTTCAATTTCAGTGCTTGTGATTGGTCTGTTCATATTTTCTATTTCTTCCTGATTCAGTCTTGGCAGGTTGTGCATTTCTAAGAATTTTGTTCCAGTGATTTAAAAGAGAAGCGTGGTATTCAGTGTTTCTTCATTAAAAAAAATTAATTTCGGGACTTCCCTGGTGGCGCAGTGGTTAAGACTCCGTGCTCCCAATGCAGGGGGCCTGGGTTTAGTCCCTGGTCAGGGAACTAGATCCCACATGCATGCCGCAACTAAGAGTTCGCATGCCACCACTGAGGAGCACACGTGCCGCAGCTAAGGAGCCCACCTGCTCCAGCTAAGACCCGGTGAAACCAAATAAATAAAATAATTTTAAAAAATTAATTTCATAAGCATAAAAGAATGATCTTTGAATTAAGGTTCTTTGGGTAGTTTTTGTTGCTTTTGACAGATTTTTAAAACTTGCTTTGGAAGTTTTCTGACACATACACACTTTTTCTCCCAAGACTGAAGAATGAAAAGGCGTTACGTCTCAAACTTATTGGTAAGTGGATATACTTATTTGAAGTTCTTCTCTATACCTATTTTCTTTTGACTCTCTTAGTAAAATACTATTTTTATCTAAGTGAATTTTCTCTACCAGACTTGATCAAAACAAAATAAAATCAATCAATAAGCTCTGAGAACAAACAGTGTTAATAATATCTAGCTCAGTTTTCTAGAAACTGTTTAGTACCTACCTACCTGTTTTTATCCATCCCCCCCCTTCCTGTCTCTCTCTCTCTCTTTCTCTCTCAAGTTTAATTCTAGCTCCCTGACCATTAGAATTATGAAGGATTTTGAAAATAACAATTCATATTTAATGATGTGAATATATACATCCTCAGTCTGTATCTCAGTGTCACAGTCTTTTTGTGTGTGTGACAAGTCTGAGATTTCAGAACAGTGGCTATTAGGCTTTATAACCAAAATGAAAGGTATTTGAACCATTAACTCTAATGCTTTATCAGGCAATAGAATAGTATTTCTAAACGTTTTGTCAGTAATCCTGGGTAGGGCCATTTCTTGATTTGTAATATTGAGAAATCTAATTGAAAGTGACACCCCGATGGTCAGATTTACTCATAAGGATGAGGTCTGTCAGCTCCGTGATTATAAATGTCAGTCATTCTGCACAGTATAGGGCAGATCTTGTATGCCTAAGATATTTACTAACTTTGAGGCCCTGAACAGGTTACTTAACCTGTCTCTTCTAAATGGAGATAATAATAATAATAATCCTCATAGGATTGTAAAGGTCTTGACATAGTGCCTGCTGCTTACTAAATGTTCAGCAGATGTCATCTTCTTCATTAATCTGATCAGACTCTCATTTTTGTTATTTCGGATAAGTTCTATCCTTTGCTTTATAAATACCTAGAACTTCATGTTCTGTTAAGAGTGTTCTTTCCTTTTCTAAAATTTGTATCCTTACTGGATAAGAAATATATACAGAAAAGCGTCCCTCCTACCCTTGTCTCTTGCCCCAATTAAAATGTGACAATTTAATTTCTGACAGACTGATTTAGTTAGCTTTGAGCCCACACAAAACTTTATATTTAACTTTGAAATAAATTTTGATACTGTTTTAAACACATTGATGTTGAAAATTATAACGACTACCTCTGCTTGAATGATGACTTGTGGTGTTAAACTGTCTTGGTACTTGTTGTTATAGGTGAAAAACTGCAGTGGTTTCAAACTCATCTTGATCCCAAAAAAGTAGGATATTCAAAGAGAGATGCTTGTGAATTAATTGAAAGGTAAACACTGGGCATGTTATGAGCAAAGGGTCAGTAACAGGAATTCCCCAGCTTGATTCTTCAAGATTCAGAGTTCTATTCGGGATTTACAGATGAGCAAATGAGCTTTGTTATCAAGACTTTGGATTCTTACACTAGCTTAGCCATTTTAGTAGCTTTGTAACCTTTCTGGGCCTCGGAGTGGTAGTTAGCCCAGTTTCTTGGCTTCCTGGAGGAATGTCATCTAAACTGACATCTAAAGATAGGGGTTAGCAGATTGAGGTGAGGTAGTTGGAGCCTCTAGGCAGAGAGAACAAGGTCTGAAAGGCCCGGGGTGAGAGCAACGTATTTAGTGATCTGCCAGACATTTAATAAAACTGAAATAATAGGTTCAAGGAGGGAATTGTGACAGGTAGGATAAACAACCAGCTTTTGAAAGATTTCAGATATCAGTGTAAGAGTTTGGACTTTATCCAAGGACCGTGGGAGACATAGTTACAGCAAGCACCTGTGATGGTCACATTTTTAAACTTTAGAAAGGTCACAGTTGGAGGAATGAGGAAAATGGACGAGGGGGCAGGCTTTGGCTGGGAGACTGCTGAGAGGCTGATGAAGCAGTCCAGGCAAGAGGTGATGGTGGGAGCAGTGTGGTGAAGAGAAATGAAAGAGTGCAGACCTTTGAAGGAAGCGGAAGTCCCCATCTTTAATGAAGACTTAGATGTGGCGTAAAAGGGAGAGAAGCGAGGAGTCAGGGGGGGCACTCGCATTCCTCACTTGGGCAGCTGGATGAATGGTTGTCCCAGGGGATGGAGCGGGTCGGGAGGGGGCGCCTAGGGGCAGCGCGGAGGCAAGGCCAGGGGTGGCATGTTAAGCCAGATGGAGATGTCCAGGAGGTGGCTGAGTACGTGGATACGGAGTTTGTTTAACAGACACTTTAATGGCAGGCTTTGATGTGGTCACAGGAATTTTGAAAATGGTTAAGTTACCACGAGAAGGTCTGAGAACTTAAGGAACTCAGAGGAATATAAAAACTTCAGGGACAGGCGAAGGCTGGGGATTATGGTGGGGTTTTTTTGGGGCGGGGGGAGATTATCTTTTAAATGAACTAATATAAGCCAAACAGAGACTCTGTAAGTCAGATCATTTTCTTGTTTTTCAGGTATTTAAATCGGTTCAGCAGTGAGCTGGAGCAGATTGAGTTACACAACAGCATCAAGGCCAGGCGGGGCCGGCGGCACTGCGCCCGAGAGGCGGCCATCAAGCAGACCACGGAGCGAGAGTGGCGGCAGTACAGGGGCTGCGGCCTCGGTAGGAGCGGGAGGGCGGCAGTACGGGGCTTGGTGTGTTCTCAGCGTACCTTCCCTTCTTTCTAGTCATATTTGGCTTTACTTATTCTATTTATTTAGTTTAGTTTGATTTTCTTCCTTTGATTTCCTTTCCTTTTGAGTGTTTGGAATAATTTTTGAATTCATCCTTTTTTTCCTCCTACATTCCCCAAACTGTCAGTGTTGACAGTGACTTATCTTTCTACTGTGACAGTAAGGTTTTCCTCTCCCTTCCAGTGTACTTGATTTGCTTTGTTCTAGAGTTTTACTTGCCCGTCTCCAACCACATCGACGTTTCTTTAGAGTAAGTACTGTGTCCTCTTGTCTTTGTAAGTCTTCTAGTAAAGAGCTATACTTGTTGCAGCATTTCTTGAGAAATTATAGAAATCAAATTTTCTTTCTTAGCACTAGCATTTCTTACAGTTCCTGAAGACAAGTATGTTGTGGGCTTAACAACACTGTCTGAAGAAAGGTGCTTAGGAGGAGAGGAGAGGGCACTTGTAAGGGCTTGCAAAGCCCAAAGTCAGGTGATGACCCAAGGGCTACATGGCCTGCAAATGGTGTTTGATTGGCTTATTAATTGTCAGTATAAGAAAATCTGCTGATTTCACATGAAAAATGTAGATTTCTGGCTTCTCGTAAAACATGCGGTGGTCTGGCAGCATCATCTGCTAGAGCAAAGTAGCGACTGTCCCTTTTAGATTTGAGCATTCAGTGGTTCCAAACCTTCCTTCATTCACATTCCCTGCCTGGTCCCTGTAGGCATTCCTGTGTGGATTTGCTTGGGAAGTACAGTAAATGAAATGCTTAAAGCAACATTAGGTTTTTAAATTTTAATAATAACAATAGGGCCCTGAAGCAGATACCCTGTGGGTAACTGTTGTGTTAGTCCCAGCCTGTGCATAGTGATGCTGTGCGCCAGGAAGGTCTGGGGCGGCCTCCACAGGCATTCTCCCCACTGGAGCCAGTGTTGTGGCTGGACCCCACCCTCGTGGTTCTTACTGTGATTGTAGGGTGCACCTCAGCAAAAACCAGCAGGGAGCTTTGAAAAAAACAAGATTTAGTGCTTAAAAGTCCTGGATGGTACAGGACATGCCTGAAGGCCACACAGCGAGGTCTCCAGTAGAGAAAGAGGGAGGGAACAGGGACCTGGGGCCCTGCCTTTGTTAGGGTCATAGGCGGGATGCCTGGGGTTTCATGGGTTCACTCTTCATAAAGGCGCCAGCAGGGGGAACGGGGTCACTCAGGTGGTCAGTTATCTGCGTTCCCCAGGGCTTTCTAATAGGGGAACTTCGTGGGGGAGGAGCCTGGTCCCTCACCTAGTTGTTTTGCTGGAGCTGTGTCAGTCTGGCCGTAGGTGGATCCATAGAGTTGGATGTCTTCGCAGCATATGCCTCGACAGCTGGAAGGTTGGCATCAGGCACTTACCCTCAGTGACACTGTGAGCCCTGAGTAGATGGCAGTTCCTCCACATCATTCCTAAGCAGTGAGTGTCTTCACTGAAGAAACAACAGAATAACTTCAGAACTAGATAGATCTGGACTTAAACCCTTACAGCTTACTATATAACAGGGCAAGTTTCTTCCCACCCACTCCCTGGCCTTGTTACCTTCTATTTAAAAATAGAGGTAAATAGTGCACCTCCTTCCCAGGTTGTTTAAAAGTCAAGAGATGGGCTTCCCTGGTGGCGCAGTGGTTGAGAGTCCGCCTGCCGATGCAGGGGACACGGGTTCGTGCCCCGGTCCGGGAAGATCCCACATGCCGCGGAGTGGCTGGGCCTGTGAGCCATGGCCGCTGGGCCTGCGCGTCCGGAGCCTGTGCTCCACAACGGGAGAGGCCACAACAGTGAGAGGCCCACGTACGGCAAAAAAAAAAAAAAAAAGATGAGATTTCACGTATCAAGTGCCTGACACAGAACCTACTGTAGGAGGTTGAGGGAGAGCTTCGGCCACTGTGTCCTTTTCACCTCAGTTTGTCTATGCTGTAGTCTCCATTTCCTCAGTTTTCCATTTTTATTGGAACCCCTTAATTAAGCTTTTGTAGCCACCACTCAACTAAAAGCCCTTGTCACCAATGACCTTTAAGTTGCTAAGACACATAGTGCCTGTACTGGGCACTCATGTAGTCAACTTTTCTGCAGTGTTCGATACAGATGATCCCTTGATTTCTTGTCACACTTTTTATTTGGGGTAGAAGCCCCTCACCTTCCCTGGTTTTCCTCCAAGTTAACTGGCCATGATTTCAGTGTCCTGAGTTGAATCCCTCATAGCCTCACAAACTAAATATTGACCCAGGTCCTTGTCCTTGGGCCTCTTCTCTTTTCTATTTACATGAATTTCCTGAGTTGATGTCATTCAGTCCTGTGGTTTTAAATACCATTTAAATGCTCATAACTTCCAAATTTATATTCTCAATACTTGTCGCTAGAACTCCAGACTTGCATTATCAAACTTGGGTTTCTCAGAGTATCTACTTGAATGTCTTACGTGCATCTCCAGCTTATGTCCCAAAGCAGAGTCCAGCTTTTCTCCTAAAACTTGCTTCTCCTGCAAGCTCCGTGTGTCTATCAGTGATATCACCACTTGCCCCATCGCTCGTGTCAGAAACCCTGCCGACGGTTTCGCATTCCACACCCAGCTCATCAGCAGGATATACTTAAGAGTCTAATGGCTTGCCCTGCTGCCCCCAGCACCTCTGGCTCGAGCCACCACCATCTCAGCTCTGCCATCATGACAGCCTCCCAGGTGGTCTCTGTGCTCAGTCTGTTCAGCCTACAGCCGCCAGGTTAATCAACAGTAATTGACAGCACACTCCAGGTCAGACATCTGCTGGTGGTGGAGCCCGTGCTAAAACTCAGACCTCGTCTTCCAGTTATGCCACAGTCCTTATTCCAGATGCATGGAATGTATCTGGTGAAAAAAACTTTGTCAACTCTATCAAGTTTACAAGCATCTAGAAACATGTGGGCAGATTGTCACCAAATACTGTGTTGATCAGGTTCAGAGAAGACAAGATAACTGACATCTCTCCCTCTTGCTCCATGGTGGTATAACTGTTCCTGACTCATTTTATTAGAATTTCTTAAAAAAAATAATTGTGCTTAATTTATACCTTTTAAACACCTGACCCCTCGTACTCATACTCTTATTTTCTGAAGCTATTGTAAAAGTCAGTATACAGTCATGTCAAACATTTTTATCTTTTTCATTAATTGATACTGGATTTTATTTAATATTTTATCCATTGGCCAGAATTTTTGCAGCAGTGTTCCAGTTTTTGTTAAACATGCCTCTGTGTTCCAGCAACATGGATGACCCATGCATATAGGTTTATGATCCACTTTCTAATCATGATAAGGAGCTGTCATACACCTAGTTTTCATTTAAAATGGGTTTAAATTTTATTGAACTTTATTGAACTTCTATTGATTATAGTTTATTTGAAAAAGTTTTTACATTTTTAATAGTATTTTTTAATATTTAATAATCCTTGCATTCCTCAAACTCTACCTTGCCAAAGCGAACTATATGCTTGAAAAAATTGCACCTTTCACCAAGAAAATATGTAAAACAACTGAGCATGTTGTTGTAGGGGACTGATAGTTAGAATTTGCCAGGCACCTTTACTGTCTAAAAGGACAGAGTTTATTTTGTTGATAGGTTTGTTTTATAGATTCTGTGGTAGAATACATTATTTAATAGTGTTCTTTTTGAATCACCTTCTTATAAAGTAAGTCCTTTATGCTTGCAAAACTTTTCATTATAGCATTATAATCATGCTTCGAAATTTTGTTTTTCTTTGGATGTTCTTTTTGTCTGTCAGTTATTATTGTTTCTGAGATAATAAATGAGGAAACTATAAATGTTATCATAGAAAACATTGCCTAATAGATATAAATTATTTTCTTTTCCAGAGATTCCAGACATTTTAAATGCAGGTAATCTGAAAACTTTTAGGTGAGTCTGTCTCTTTTGTTCTTTGAAGCTGCAAGTAAAATACATAAGAGATAAACTTTCTTCCCTTTTGAGTCTAGACGTTAGAGCTAAAAGAAAATTAGGAGGTTCTTTTTAACCTTTCCTCTTTCATCAGTTGAAGTAAGAATTTTCCTAAGTTCAGCATTTGTTTGAGATGCCTGATGTACACTGAAATGATAATGACCTGGTGCTTTTGTTTTTCAAAATACTTTAAAATTCTTTAATATAGTACTTAAAGAACATGGTATCCTTGTTCCTCCCTGGTTGTTATTATTTAAAAAGATAAATTGTCAGCAGCAGACTTGTTGGCTGAGTCCTGTCCCCATACTGTTTGCAGCACCCCCTTCTGGAGAAGGTGGCTAGTGGGAAGTGGTATGGGGAAATGGTTAAATCATAAAGAACCAGTTGCCCCAGTGGTCTCTCTAGTAGTGCTGTGTGACCGAGAGACCAGTGAGTAGGATTTCCTGTTTTCAGTTTTCAAACATGGGTTCTTTGTCTTTAGAACATAATTTTTATTAATCATTTTGATACTAGCTAGACCATGTTGATCAGTCTGAAATTTTAATTGAAATTAGATACATTTAAGTCCATATTATTTGAAACCCTTAAGCTTATTTTATATTTTTATACTTCTGAATTCATAGAAGATATTTAATATTCATAAAATATTCGCTCTAATAGAATTCATTGATCATATTTAAGAAGTGGTTCACTTTGTAGCCTATGTACATGTATTTATAAGTACATGGAGCTTAAGATTGATTATACATTAATTTTTTTTGCCTGTAATGTTAAGTAATCAGATATATAAATGTTCTCTTTATTCCTAAAACAGTGTATGTTCTGCCTCCCCCAGAGAAAGCCAGAAATGAGAAGAAATTAGCCTAGACTGTTAGTATCAGAGTTCAGTTCTCAGAAGAATCTTCACATTGCTCTTAAAGTAATTGAACATAGGATTGTCACAGAAAAGCTGGGGTTGAAGAACTAAAAGTTTCCTATTATAACCAAAAAAATTGTTTGATTACTAGAACACTTGTGATTTACCATTGTGTGTGAAAAGAAAAACCTTTTCTGACTGTGCATTTTGGAGATTTTCCAGGATGATGTAGTTCCTACTTCAGAGATTCTTGATACCATATATGTCCTAATAGAGGGAAGTGTTTGGGTTAGGGAGAATAAAAGAATGGAACGGAGTTTGCTTGTAACTTCTGCCTAATATATTCCTGCATTGCTTTGGAAATTTTGAATTCTCTGTGCAGTTAACTGCTATTGTAGATTAATGAGAAAGTTCAGTTAAGTATGGAAAAAGCAAACCTCAGTTCTTGGGACATTTTTTTTTCTACTGCATTTATATTGTTTCCTTCTAGTGCATTTCAATCTGCTGTAAATTTGTAAACTTTCTTCTGCTTAGTTTTGAATATTGACTTTATTACTTCCCTACCTCACCACCCCTCTGCATTCTCTCTTTTGTCTAGGGAATGGGATTTTGATCTGAAGAAATTGCCAAACATTAAAATGAGAAAAATCTGTGCTAATGATGCAGTGCCTAAGAAGTGTAAGAAGAAACCTGTGACAGCTGTAGACAGAGATTTAGGAGAATTGGAACTGAAAGATGAATCAAGTGACACAGATGAGGAAATGACTGCAGTGGCCTAATTGTCTTTACTTGAGTTGAAAATAAATAATTTGAGAACTTCAAGTTACACTTGAATTGATTATGGTAAATAATTGTCTCGTGTACACAACAGTTTGCTGTTTAGCTTATTCTCTTATATGAGAATCCCATTTTCAGTTTCAAAAACAGTGTTATGATTTTAACTTAAAAATGAATGTTGCTTTATGTTTATATAAATATGTTCAGACCCTGCTTAAAAACCCAGACCGTTATAAAATCTTAAGAACTCGGGCTTCCCTGGCGGCGCAGTGGTTAGGAATCCGCCTGCCAATGCAGGGGACACGGGTTGGATCTCTGGCCCGGGAGGATCCCACATGCCACAGAGCAGCTAAGCCCATGAGCTACAACTACTGAAGCCCGCGCACCTGGAGCCCATGCTCTGCAACGAGAGAAGCCACGGCAATGAGAACCCCACGCACCGCAACAAAGAGTAGCCCCTGCTCACCGCAACTAGAGAAAGCCCACACACAGCAACAAAGACCCAGCGCAGCCAAAAATAAAACAAATAAATAAATTTATATATTTAAAAAAAAAAAATCTTAAGAACTCAAGGCTGTTTGAATGTTGCAGATACAAATCTGCAGAAATCCAGGTAAGTTAGGCAAAAAATACAGAAACCACAACAAAGGTTTGGATCACTTGTTTAATATACAAAGTCTGTTTTTCACAGGTAATTATTTTCTTTTCCTTACTTTGTCTTAGTACACATTATTCACAAAACAGTAAATCGTTCATGCAAGAGAATTAGGTAAAACCGAAAAAAGTACAAATGCTCAATCCCCCAAATTGCACACAGTTAAAATAATTTTTCCTTGTTTGTTTTAATGCAGTTTCAAATGGGCTTTCTTCAGATGTGGAGGAAACACTGCAGCCCAAAATAACAGTACTTCCTTTCAACTGTATTGACAGGTAAAATAGCACCTTTGGGCTGACTTAGGAAAGAAAACTAATTTTCATCTTTCTTCGTTAAAGTGTAAGTAAGTCCTACACAATTATCGTATGACAGCTACCATAATGATAATGATCAGTTTTAAGAGCTCTACTTCGTTCCAAAATATTCATTGTCATGGCAAGGAAAGGGAAATTGTGTCAGGCAGATGGAAAAACCTTCCTCCCCACCTCTCCTCCATGACAATTAGAGTATCTTAGTGATGTCATTGCTCTAATGAGCTAGTTTTCCAGCCCAAATAAGTAGATGTTTTGGGGACCTTTTGCAAAACAAGGTAAGTGTGACTATGTGGCCATCTCTCTGGAACTATAATCACATGTAACAGCAGCTCGGAGTGAGAATAGATAGTTTTAGGGACCTTTTGCAAAACAAGATAAATGTAACTATGTGGCCATCTCTGGGACTATAATCACATGTAACAAGCTCGGAGTGAGATTTAATCCTAGGGCATTTTGAAAGACTCCCGAGTATATATATACCTGTCTTCCTTTTATTTCTCCATTGCTTTATATCCCAAGTCGATGGGAACATTTTTGTTTTGTTTGTTTACATTTTGTTTGTACTTAAGTTTAATTGCCCTTTGGGCTTCACTTTAAAAAAAAAATACTGGATTTCATTTCTTTACAATTTAATCTTCGATTTTACACAATTAGAGTGACAGTTCTTTAAAAAAATCAACAGCATAAATGTATGTTTTCTGGTATTGATAATACCACAGATTCATGATGATAAAAAGCCAAGGTTTTAGCAGAACTGTAAGTTTATTCTTCAATTTCATTCTTTGTTGCAATTCCATTTTATTTCTTACATAAGCAGGTGAGCATGCTTCAAAAAATTGCCATTCCGGAGAGCAGTTTTTCTTTTTGAAGGGCATATCCAGTCCACAAAAGTGTTGTCACAAAGCCAAACCCGGTCCTCGAAAGGACAAGTGTACCACTGCCACACAGAACATAAAAGAAAAGAATCGACACTAGGTTTTAAATGCACATAGTTACTTCAGATTGTTTGAACTACCAACAGCCATTACAGGAAAACTTTTAAAGATTTAAATTCAGGAGTTCAGTGTTTAAATTTAAAGAATAGCAGAATAATGTTGACTTTTAATGTGTTAGGGAGCTGTATTATTTTCTCATTTCAAGAAAGTCAAAGCCTATTCAAGTTCATTTTGAGAATTTACGTATGGTTTTAAAACACCATGTCATTTTTTATCATTAATACAGTAATGCTTATCCTTACTTTTCATTCTAGAATTTCTTAGTGTTTGGTATGCCCCTTAATAAATTATTACTTATTAAGCCAATCGTCTTCCACTGTGAAATTATGCACTTACCTGTATTGCTAAAGTTTGGACAGAATTTAAATGGTATTTATGGTATAATTCAGGTAAATAATCCTTTTCCTTACAGAGCAAACAAAAGAGAAATCAACATTTCTTTGTTTGCTGGTGGCTAGATTTTGTTCCCTCAGGAATATTTGTAAACAACTGTTGCCATTGCCAAACCTCAGGAGAAATGGATTAGTAAAATGCTTAGGAAAATTATCAGAAAAGAATGAATCACATTTAATGCCTTGGGTGCGGTGCCACGGTGAAACCCCCTAAAGCTTCATTATCCATGAGTGCATTTATCTTAAACCTTGAAAATGGAAATTTAAGGAGTTAATACAAAGTCCAGGTTGTTTAAGCTTCATATATTTTTAATTACACCACTATGTCTTTATTTGTGCAGAAATTTTGGTCCAGTTTAGTTGCCTCAACTTAGTTTTTCCTGTGCCTTCATTCCGCACTCCTACAGCAAGTTTTAAGAAAGATGGGTTTTAAACCTTTTGTTTCCTGCCTGACTGAATACCTTGACGTTTTTCTCATGTATATACAGGAACAAACACATGCCACACACACACAAAGTTGATACTGTTGACCTTTGCTTTATTTCTAGGAACTGGGACTATTTGGACTCAGTGTCAGCCACTACTCATATCGAATCAGACTTCTCTTCAGTAAAAGGTTATTTCTCTTTTCTTTCCCTATGGTAACGTGTGAGTTTTGAAAAAGCCCACTGACAATTACAAAGTGCATCAATGTGATACCCAGATTTGTGCAATACGATACCCATGCTTTGGTTCTATGGCCATCACGGTTGCCTTTTCACAATAATAAATACGACAGCTAGCAAAAATAAATCACCTCATTTTATGTAAGACATCTCTCTTTAACAGGCCACACTATATTTATAATCATTAATCTAGCTCACTGCTATGTCATTCACACTTCAGTTTTACATGAATATGCAAAGAATACAATAATCAACTGAACTGTCAAACCTAAACAATTCAATTTATTACTTAGCACAGAATCTGTTGAATATTTTTGCCTCCCAGCTGAGCAAGGGAAATACTGTCAGCTTTTTAAAATACAGTCTAATGCTTGGTCATAACTACTCATCTGTCAAGTTGACACCTCATAAAAAAAAAGGTACGTTTGTAAATTATTTTCCCTATTATAAGTGCTTCATAGTAGCAAATAAGTTAATTTCAGAACTTAACCACAGGCAGATTGCTTTGTAGTTTTGTTTTTTCACCCTTTAGAGAAATGGTAACTTCACCTAACTCTTAACCAAGATATTTAATTTGATTAATTTAGTGGTAACTTCACCTAACTCTTAACCAAGATATTTAATTTGATTAATTTAGTGCTTTGTAAAATAGTATTTGTGATACTTTGAATAAAAGTGAATTAAGCTGCTGTTTTGAAAGATTCAATTGTTAAATGAAGCAGAGGCTTTGTCTCTAATTTTAGGGCTGCACTAGCCAATAAGTTTAATTCAAATTGAGCTATGCTGTAAACATACTGGATTTTGAAGACTTGGTTCATAAAAAGAGCTGTAAAATAACTCAATACTTTTTTTATATTGATGACATTGAAATGATAACTTGGGTATATATAGTGTTAAATAATATATATTATCAAAATTCATTTCACCTATTTTTACTTTTTCTAATGGGGCTACTAGAAAATCTAAATTTGCATATGTGGCCTTCATTTGTGGCTCACATTATATTTCTGTTGGACAACACTGTTTTAGAGGGTCCAGGTGGAGTATACAAGGCTTCTGTGGGTATTTAACAGAGCTAATTAAACCCAAAAATCATGATTTGAACATAATTCCAAGTATTAATATCTTGAAATGTGTATTGCATCTATTTTAAAAACATGCATCTGTCAAAACAACTGGACTCCACTATAGCCATAAAACCTGTTAGCTGTCAAAGTATGAATATCAAAATATGCATCTTCTGAGTTTGCTTCTGATGTGCCTCAAGCTTAAAACCAAATGTGTTTGTCATTTCCAGATGAGAGAGTTAACATTACAAGGCCCTAGAAGAAAGACATATTGCAATTCAAGTCTGTATTCTTGACCTTGCCCTGTTACTGTGAAGACTCATGGGTCTGTCCAGTTAGTCTCCCCTCATTGCCTGAAAGCATTCCTTGCTCCAGCGGTCCTTGTCTCACAAATCGTTCTCCAGCCAACTTTTCACATTTTCTCTTCACACTTGAGACTGCTTCATGGGATCCTGATCATTTGGTGTTTCTTCTCCTTTCTTTTTGAGCAAAGAAAGGACAAATGAGTCAGAAAGAGGAGAGAAGATAATGAGGGTGACTAACTCAGGATCACTTCTGTCACTTGTAATGGCTGAGGGCCAGGCGATACTCCAGTGACACGCTCCCGGCTGGCCCCATCACACAGGTATGACTTCGGGGGGGCCGCCCTCTGAAGGTGGCAGTGCGTTGGTCCCCGTTTGTAAGGCAGGCACTACTGCCCCGGCGTCCTTGGCATCCGTGTTCACCGTGCAGGAGCAGTTCTTCTCCAGCCTCTTGGCCGTGTCGGGGCAGTTCTGCACAAAGATCACACGGTTGTAGGCCTTCAGCCTGCGCCACAGCTGAACGTAGACCTTGCACTGTACGTACATGAAGACCAAACCTCCCGTGAAGCCGATGGCCACCACAACCAGTTTTGTCCAAAATGGCCATTCAAGGACACCTGTGAAGTAAAAGAGAGAACATTACCACCAAGTCTTTATTGATGGATTTGGTGATTCTTTTCCTATGGTTCCTTCAAAGGATCATGCCAGCCTGTTACAACCTGTTGCTTAATTGCCTTAAATATTCTCGAGGTATTGCCAAAATTGTACATGAAAAAATTCTCTCCCCTACCCCTGTAATGATGTCTCTCATCTCTCTTAGCCATCAAGAACCTACTGTGATCATCAGATACTTACTTCGACATTTATTCCTTGCAGCTAAATCTTTAAAGGAAGTGAAAGAATCAGACTTTAGGATCCTCTTAAGGTAATGTAATAGGTACATGTGTGGGATTGTACCCATGGGTTCCCTCCCCACCCTCATTACCTTTAAAATTAAAAAAGAGAGAAAGAAGCTGCCACATCTCAGAATTCCTGAGTACAGACATGCATAAGATTTAGAATTTTAGTCACTTGTTTTATCAGTCTTACATTTTGTTACTGAGAACCATCTCTTTCTTAGACATCAATCAATATTTTCTCTTAATTTCCATCACCATAACTAGAAATGGACTTTCTTTCACAAAGAGTTTTTAAAACTATGTCACGAGCATTTCTGTAACTACAACAGTATTTACGCCACATATAATTACAAATGTTAATATATGATGGTCAAGAGACCACCTCTTGCCAACATTAGGATGGTATGGAGGATGTGATAGCTGCCTTCATTCATGTGAGAGACCGTCAAGTAAAAGAGAAGGGTGGGTTGGAAACCACACTTTAGGGAAGTCAGGTTTTACTTACTTGTAACAGTGAATAGAGTTATAAGAAACATCCTGTCTATATTTTGTAAGAGTGACATTTATGAATACTTTATGCTTCTGGAAGCAAACTGGACCCCTGCCCCATTTGCCTCACGTTGAAGGGCTTGCCTTGTTCCTTAATCCTGTCTATGCCTGACTCACTGAGCTGGGGGGACCAGCAGCTTACAACTGAGGGTAGTTGTGTGCCCTGGGCCACTGAGCAGTGTCTGGAGATGCTGATCGTTATACCTGGTGTTGGGCGGGTGCTACTGACTTCTTAGTAAGTCCTGTGATGCTGCTTTGCCAGCATCCTGCATTGTGTAGGACAGCAAGGAGTTAACCTAGTCCAAAATGCCAATAGTGCTGAGGTTGAGAAACCCTGTTGCAGAAGATGATCACGTTTCTTTATTTAGAATTTTTGCTCTCAGCTGTTCAATTGAGCAGTAGTGTCTCCTTGTTTAGAAGGATGTTAACCACAGACAAGCTGAAGTGTGTTTTGTCTCCCATTTTTAGGGAAATCCCCATGGATTACATCTCATTTTCCCCTCTGATTCCTAAATGACACTACCACCTGTGACACTACCAGCTGTGCCCTGGAAGTGCCTGGAGATTCTCTCCTTCCAAGCCTCTGCCCATGATATTTCTTCTCTCAGAATTTTGCTTCTCTATTTCTGAATGTCTACCTGTCCCACAAAACCTGACTCAAATAATTTCCAGCTGGGGATAAGCGTTCTCACTCTTCCAGTTTCATGTTATTTTTACACCTGTGGCATGAGTCACTCTCTGACATAAGTTATTTGTTCTCTGCTGTGCCATAACCTTGACAGTGCAGGATCTACGTCTGGTTGGTCTTTGTTTTCCACGCTCCCTTGCTCAGTGGACATTTTAAGGATGAAGGAAAGCTTTTAATATATATAAAGCTTTGATATATGTCTTTCTCTGTCTGACTGACTTCACTCAGTATGACAACCTCTAGGTCCATCCATGTTGCTGCAAATGGCATTATTTAATTCTTTTTTATGGCTAATATTCTATTGTATATATGTACCACTTCTTTATCCATTCCTCTGTTGACGGACATTTAGGTTGCTTCCATGTCTTGGCTATTGTAAATAGTGCTGCTGTGAACATTGGGGTGCATGTGTTGCTGCTATGAACATTGGGGTGCGTCTTTCTGAATTATGGTTTTCTCTGGATATATGCCCAGGAGTGGGACTGCTGGATCATATGGTAGTTCTATATTTAGTTTTTTGAGGATCCTCCATACCGTTCTCCATAATGGTTGTAACAATTTACATTCCCACCAACAGTGCAAGAGGGTTGCTTTTCTTCACACCCTTGCCAGCATTTGTTGTTTGTAGACTTTTTGATGATGGCCATTCTGACTGGTGTGAGGTGATACCTCAGTGTAGTTTTGATTTGCATTTCTCTAATGATCAGTGATGTTGAGCCTTCTTTCATGTGTTTGTTGGCAATCCGTATATCTTCGGAGAAATTTCTATTTAGGTCTGCTGCCAATTTTGGATTGGGTTGTATGTTTTTTTTGATATTGAGCTGAATGAGCTGCTTGTAAAATTTGAAGATTAATCTTTTGTCAGTTGCTTCATTTGCAAATGTTTTCTCCCATTCTGAGGGCTTTTAGTCTTGTTTACAGTTTCCTTTACTGTGCAAAAGCTTTGAAGTTTGATTAGGTCTCATGTGTTTTGTTTCATTTCCATTTGTATAGGAGGTGGGTCAAAAAGGATCTTGCTGTGATTTATGTCGTAGAGTGTTCTGCCTATGTTTTCCTCTAAGAGTTTTATACTGTCTGGCCTTATATTTAGGTCTTTAATCCATTTTTGAGTTTTACTTTTGTGAATAGAGTTAGCGAGTGTTCTAATTTCATTCTTTCACACGTAGCTGTCCAGTTTTCCCAGCACCACTTATTGGAGGCTGTATTTTCTGCACTGTATATTCTTGACTCCTTTATCAAAGATAAGGTGACCATATGTGCTTCGGTTTATCTCTGGGCTTTCTATCCGGTTCCATTGACCTACATTTCTGTTTTTGTGCCAGTACCATATTGTCTTGATTACTGTCTTGATTACTGAGCCTGATTCCTCCAGCTCCATTTTTCTTTCTCAAGATTGCTTTGGCTATTCGGGGTCTTTTGTGTTTCCATACAAATTGTGAAATTTTTTATTCTAGTTCTGTGAAAAATGCCAGTGGTAGCTTAATAGGGATTGCGTTTAATCTGTAGATTGCTTTGGGTAGTAGAGTCATTTTCACAATGTTGATTCTTCCTTTCCAAGAACATGGTATATCTCTCCATCTATTTGTATCATCTTTAATTTCCTTCGTCAGTGTCTTGTAGTTTTCTGCATATAGGTTTTTTTTCTCCTTAGGTAGGTTTATTCCTAGATATTTTATTCTTTTTGTTGCAATGGTAAATGGGAGTGTTTCCTTAATTTCTCTTTCAGATTTTTCATCATTAGTGTATAGGAATGCAAGATTTCTGTGCATTAATTTTGTATCCTGCAACTTTACCGAATTCATTGATTAGCTCTAGTAGTTTTCTGGTAGCATCTTTAGGATTCTCTATGTATAGTATCATGTCATCTGCAAACAGTGACAGCTTTACTTCTTCTTTTCTGATTTGGATTCCTTTTATTTCCTTTTCTTCTCTGATTGCTGTGGCTAAAACTTCCAAAACTATGTGGAATAATAGTGGGGAGAATGGGCGGGCAACCTTGTCTTGTTCCTGATCTTAGTGGAAATGCTTTCAGTTTTTCACCATTGAGAATGAAGTTGGCGGTGGGTTTGTCATATATGGCCTGTATTATGTTGAGGTAAGTTCCCTCTATGCCTTTCTGGAGGGTTTTTTTTATCATAACTTTGTCTGGTTTTGGTATCAGGGTGATGGTGGACTCGTAGAATGAATTTGGGAGTGTTCCTCCCTCTGTCACATTTTGGAAGAGTTTGAGAAGGATAGGTGTTAGCTCTTCTCTAAGTATTTGATAGAATTTGCCTGTGAAGCCATCAGGTCCTGGGCTTTTGTTTGTTGGAAGATTTTTAATCACAGTCTCAATTTCAGTGCTTGTGACTGGTCTGTTTATATTTTCTATTTCTTCCAGGTTCAGTATCTGAATGTTGTGCTTTTCTAAGAATTTGTCCATTTCTTCCAGGGTGTCCATTTTACTGCCATAGTTGCTTGTAGTAATCTCTCATGATCCTTTGTATTTCTGCAGTGTCAGTTGATAAGTCTGGCTAATGGTTTACTAATTTTGTTTATCTTCTCAAAGAACCACTTTTTAGTTTTATTGATCTTTGCTATTATTTCCTTCATTTCTTTTCCATTTATTTCTGATCTGATCTTATGATTTCTTTCCTTCTGCTAACTTTGGGGTTTTTTTGTTTTTCTTTCTCTAATTGCTGTAGGTGTAAGTTTAGGTAGTTTATTTGAGATTTTTCATGTTTCTTGAGGTATGATTGTATTTTTCCTGCATCCCATAGGTTTTGGGTCATTTTGTTTCCATTGTCATTTCTTTCTTGGTATTTTTTGATTTCCTCTTTGATTTCTTCAGTGATATCTTGCTTATTTAGTAGTGTATTGTTTAGCCTCCATGTGTTTGTATTTTTTACAGATTTTTTTTCCCTGTAATTGATGTCTAGTCTCATAGTGTTGTGGTCGGAAAAGATACTTGATACAATTTCAATTTTCTTAAATTTACCAAGGCTTGATTTGTGACACAAGATATGATCTATCCTGGAGAATGTTCCATGAGCACTTGAGAAAAATGTGTATTCTGTTGTTTTTGGATGGAATGTCCTATAAATATCAATTAAGTCCTTCTTGTTTAATGCATCATTTAAAGCTTGTGTTTCCTTCTTTACTTTCATTTTGGATGATCTGTCCATTGGTGAAAGTGGGGTGTTAAAGTTCCCTACTATGAATGTGTTACTGTCGATTCCCCTTTGATGGCTGTTGGCATTAGCCTTATATATTGAGGTGCTCCTATGTTGGGTGCATAAATATTTACAATTGTTATATCTTCTTCTTGGATCGATCCCTTGATCATTATGTAGTGTCCTTCTTTGTCTCTTCTAATAGTCTTTATTTTAAAGTCTGTTTTGTCTGATACGAGAATTGCTACTCAGGCTTTCTTTTGATTTCCACTTGCACAGAATATCTTTTTCCACCCCCCCACTTTCAGTCTCTATTTGTCCCTAGGTTTGAAATGGGTCTCTTGTAGACAGCAAACATATGGGTCTTGTTTTTGTATTCATTCAGCCGATCTGTATCTTTTGGTGTGAGCATTTAGTCCATTTACATTTAAGGTAATTATCAATATGTATGTTCCTATTCCCATTTTCTTAATTGTTTTGGGTTTGTTATTGTAGGTCTTTTCCTTCTTTTGTGTTTCCTGCATAGAGAAGTTCCTTCAGCATTTGTTGTAAAGCCTTAGCTTTTGCTTGTTGGTAAACGTTTTAATTTCTCCATCGAATCTGAATGAGATCCTTTCTAGGTAATCTTGGTTATAGGTTTTTCCCTTTCATCACTTTAAATATGTCCTGCCACTCCCTTCCCGCTTGCAGAGTTTCTGCTGAAGGTCAGCTGTTTACCTTATGGGGATTCCCTTGTATATTATTTGCTGTTTTTCCCTTGCTACTTTTAATATCTCTTCTTTGTATTTAATTTTTGATACTTTGATTAATATGTGTCTTGGCGTGTTTCTCCTTGGATTTATCCTGTATGGGACTCTCTGCACTTCCTGGACTTGATTAACTATTTCCTTTACCATATTTCAACTATAATCTCTTCAAATATTTTCTCAGTCCCTTTCTTTTTCTCTTCTTCTTATGTTGGTGTGTTTGATGTTGTCCCAGAGGTCTCTAAGACTGTCCTCAATTCTTTTCATTCTTACAGTAGTTATTTCCACTATTTTATCTTCCAGGTCCCTTATCTGTTTTTCTGCCTCACTTATTCTGCTATTGATTCCTTCTAGAGAATTTTTTATTTTTTTTGCAGTACGCAGGCCTCTCACTGTTGTGGCCTCTCCTGTTGCACAGCACAGGCTCCAGACATGCAGGCTCAGTGGCTATAGCTCACGGGCCCAGCCACTCCACGGCATGTGGGATCTTCCCAGACCAGGGCATGAACCCGTGTCCCCTGCATTAGCAGGCGGACTCTCAACCACTGTGCCACCAGGGAAGCCCCTTCTAGATAATTTTTAATTCACTTATTGTGTTGTTCATCATTGTGTATTTGCTCGTTAATTCTTCTAGGTCCTTGTTAAACGTTTCTTGTATTCTCTCCATTGGATCATCTTTACTATCATTTCTCTGAATTCTTTTTCAGGTAGACTGCTTACCTCCTCTTCATTTGTTTGGTCTGGTGGGTTTTTACCTTGCTCCTTCATCTGCTATGTTTTTATCTGTCTTCTCGTTTTGCTTAACTTACTCTGTTTAGGGTCTCCTTTTTGCAGGCTGCAGGTTCATAGTTCCCATTGTTTTTGGTGTTTGCCCCCAGTGGCTAAGGTTGGTTCAGTGGGTTATGTAGGCTTCCTGGTGGAGGGGACTAGTGCCTGTGTTTCTATTCATGTATTCCACAGATGCAGGTACGTCAAGTTGATGGAGATTTAATCCGCTGCTCCTGAGGCTGCTGGGAGAGATTTCCTTTTCTCTTCTTTGTTTGCACAGCTCCTGGGGTTCAGCTTTGGATTTGGACCCGCCTTTGCATGTAGGTCGCTGGAGGGCATCTGTTCTTCGTTCAGACAGGACGGGGTTAAAGGAGCGGCTGATTCGGGGGCTCTGGCTCACTCAGGCTGGGGGAAGGGAGGTGTATGGATGCGGGGTGAGCCTGTGGCAGCAGAGGCCGGCGTGACAGTGCACCAGCCTGAAGCGTGCCGTGTGTTCTCCTGGGGAAGTTGTCCCTGGATCACGGGACCCTGGCAGTGGCGGGCTGCACAGGCTTCTGGGAGGGGAGGTGTGGAGAGTGAGCTGTGCTCGCACACAGGCTTCTTGGTGGTGACAGCAGCAGCCTTAGCGTCTCATGTCTGTCTCTGGTGTCCGCGCTGATAGCCGCAGCTCGCACCCGTGTCTGGAGCTCCTTTAAGCAGCGCTCTTAATCCCCTCTCCTTGCGCACCAGGAAACAAAGAGGTAAGAAGAAGTCTCTTGCCTCTTCAGCAGGTCCAGACATTTTCCCGGACTCCCTCCCGGCTAGCCGTGGCGCAGTAACCCCCTGCAGGCTCTGTTCACGCCGCCACCCCCAGTCCTCTCCAGGCGCTCCGACCGAAGCCCGAGCCTCAGCTCCCAGCCCCGCCCAGCCCGGCAGGTGAGCAGACAAGCCTCTCGGGCTGGTGAGTGCCTGTCAGCACCAATCTTCTGTGCGGGAATCTCTCCCCGCACCCCTGTTGCCGTTCTCTCCTCCGCGGCTCCGAAGCTCCCCCCACTCCGCCACCCGCAGTCTCCGCCCCGCGAAGGGGCTCCTAACGTGTGGAAACCTTTCCTCCTTCACAGTTCCCTCCCAGAGATGCAGGTCCCGTCCCTATTCTTTTGTCTCTGCTTTCTTTTTTCTTTTCCCTACCCAGGTACGTGGGGAGTTTCTTGCCTTTTGGGAGGTCTGAGGTCTTCTGCCAGTGTTCAGTAGGTGTTCTGTAGGAGTTGTTCCACGGGTAGATGTATTTCTGGTGTATCTGTGGGGAGGAAGGTGATCTCCGCGTCTTACTTTTCAGCCATCTTGAAGGTCTCTCTCTCCTTAACTAGTTTTAATGGTAATTTTTATTGTGAGTAAACATGAATGATACATGTACAATTTGTATAAACACTTTGTTTCTTTTTTTTAAAATAATAATTTAGTATGTGGGGTTTTTTTGTTTTGTTTTTTTATAAATTTATTTTTGTCTGCGTTGGGTCTTCGTTGCTGTTCGTGGTCTCTAGTTTCGAGCAGGGGCTACTCTTCGTTCTGGTGTGCAGGCTTCTCATTGCGGTGGCTTCTCTTGTTTAAGAGCATGGGATCTAGGTGCAGGAGCTTCAGTAGTTGTGGCTCGCGGCCTCTGGAGTGCAGGCTCAGTAGTTGCGGTGCACGGGCTTAGTTCCGCGGCATGTGGGTTCTTCCCGGACCAGGGCTCGAACTCGTGTCCCCTGATTGGCAGGTGGATTCTTACCCACTGCACCACCAGGGAAGCCCTAAACACCTTGTTTCCATTTATCTGATGCAAAGGCAAGTTCATGGTGTTTTTGGTGGTTTTGAAAAATGAATCATAGAAAGTTTGGAGAATATTCAGTCCAATTTAGTCAACAAATGAGAAAAGCAAGCTTCTGAGTGATAAAAAGCAAGCTTCTGAGTGATAATTATTTTGTTGAAGATAACTAGCACATGACCAAGGCAGAAAGAGACCCTGTCCTTCTGATCATTTGCCCAAGTTGGTGTTTACCACTTTGGCGTTGTTAACAATAAGAGCATGTGTAATTACGTTAAAAAGGAATGTTTAAGCAACGTTGCTGAAAAGGCGAATATTATATGGATGGCAGGGAAGTGATTTTTAAGACATTCTCAAAGAAATGTTAACAGCCAGTAGGCACGGTACAGCCCTGGATGTTCTCGGAGGCTCACAGGGGAGTGAGACAAAATCAATTTCTTATTCTAGTCCCTCACTTCTATGCATTTAAATGGTCCTGCGGCAGCCCTAACATCTATAGTCCCTTTAATAGACAGCATGGGGCTTTGCTGGTGGCGCAGTGGTTAAGAATCTGCCTGACAATGCAGGGGACACAGGTTTGAGCCCTTGTCCAGGAAGATCCACATGCCGTGGAGCAACTAAGCCCGTGCGCCACAACTACTGACCTGCACTCTGGAGCCTGCGAACCACAACTACTGAGCCCGTGTGCCTAGAGCCTGTGCTCCACAACAAGAGAAGCCACCGCAATGAGAAGCCTGTGCACCACAACGAAGAGTAGCCCCTGCTCACCACAACTAGAAAGTCCGTGTGCAGCAACGGAGACAAAATGCAGCCAAAAATAACTAAACAAATGAAAACAGACCGCATGAACTTTTGTTTTGTTTTCAGCACACAGATAAGTACCCTGGAGCATTCCTCTAAAATATGTAAAGAAAGGCAGGAGGAGTAATTGTTCTCCCAAATTAGAGTTGGCAACATGGATAACTTAGGGAGTTAAAGTTTCAAGTACCATGTATTTAGTTTTGTTTTCCTGTTATTACAGCTCAGAAGATGCTGTTTTATATTCGGCCTCCACTCTGGTTAAAGAAGGCAATTTGTTCCTCCTCAAATGTTTTCAAGAGGGATTTAAAATATTTTGACTTTTAAATTATGCAGTTTTTTCCAAAACTTTAAAAGCCAACTCAGGATCAGCGCCCCCTGTTCCAATGCCAAAGGAAGATTAAAATAATAACTCACACAGATGCCCACACTACCTGAAAATGTGCACTTTGGGAAGTTAGGTGTTAAATACAACTTGAACTTAAGTGCAGAGAGTCTTCTACTAAAAAACTTTTACAAAAGTCACCATGGTCCCATTTGAAATTACCCAGGTCAGGAGCTGTCCCTCTGGTCAGTGACTCTGTAGGAATAACCACAGGGACTGCTTTGTGATAAAGATCTTGCTTCCTATTTCAGAAGCTCTGAACACCGAAGATAAAAGCTATCTCATTTTCACTTGCTTTTAAGAAACTGAAAATAGGGACTTTCCTGGTGGTCCAGTGGTTGAGAATCCGTCTTCCAGTGCATGGGATGCCGGTTCGATCCCTGATTGGGGAACTAAGATCCCACGTGCCGCAGGGTAACTAAGCCTGCGTGGTGCAACTACTGAGCCCACACGCTCTGGAGCTCATGTGCCACAACTAGAGAGAGGCCTGCGTGCCGCAATGAAGAGCCCACATGCCGCAACGAAAGATCTCACGTGCTGCAACGAAGACCTGACGCAGCCCAAAATAAATATTTTTAAAAACCTGAAAATAACTTTAAAAAGTGTATGGTATGGGCTTCCCTGGTGGCGCAGTGGTTGAGAGTCCACCTGCCGATGCAGGGGACACGGGATCGTGCCCCGGTCTGGGAGAGTCCCATGTGCCGCAGAGCAGCTGGGCCCGTGAGCCATGGCTGCTGAGCCTGCACGTCCGGAGCCTGTGCTCCACAGCGGGAGAGGCTGCAACGGTGAGGGGCCCGCATACCGCAAAACAAAAACAGAAGAGGACACTGTCTCTGGAGAACTCCTGCCACACACATGCTCCAGCTACATAAAACACATCCTGGGGGGTCTGGGGTCCTGGTCCTTTTGAGCCCAGCCCTGTTCTGCCCAGAAGCAGCACCCAAGGAGCACGAGAAGGGCCCCCCCCGCCCCCGCTTTTGTGACTCCCAACAAAGAGACACAGAAGACAGAAACCTCTCCTTTAAAAAATTCTTTTCCTCCTTCCTCCTTTCCCTCACTGCCTCTCATCTTGTTCTTTCTTTCACCTTCTTTTCTTGAGGGAGACACAAACTTAGTGTTATCATCTGAACAAGTTCTCCTTCCAAATTCACTGCTGGTTTTCTATATAACATATATATTCCCCCCCCCCCCCCAGGGGGAGGCTAGGGGAATATTCCTCACTGTTTCACCTGCTATGATTTAGGCTACAGGCTAAAAGCCAGCAGAACCTGCTGGGAAACAGAACTGGGTACGGAGGTGAAGATAAACAAGCCATTTTTGCTCCCGTTTTGAAGGACCTATCCATTGAAAATGTTACAACATGCCTCAGTGGTTTTAAGACATCTCGCTTTGCAGACTCCATACCATCCTTCACTGTCAAACTCAGCGCAGCAAATATTTCAAACTGCAGTGTTAACGTACTCTATCAAATTACAGCGTGCCAATCAATAAGCTGTACCACATCTCTGCTAACTGCCATCTTATTTGTGTGTTACAAGAAGCCGACTGGGCTGAATTAAATACAATGAAAGACCTTCTATTTTTACCGCTGTTTGCCTCTTCCCATCAGGCAGAACCTGATACTTACCAGCTCCTTGAAAAGCCTAAAGTGGTGCATGGCCTCTGTATATTTCTCCCCCACTAAGGTTTACTTGATAAGTCTTATTTCTCAGCTTGGGAACCCTGTGTGCTCAGTGCTTTATAGTCCGAGCGGTCATCAATAACATAACCGGAGGGCTTCCCTGGTGGCGCAGTGGTTGAGAGTCTGCCTGCCAATGCAGGGGACACGGGTTCGAGCCCTGGTCTGATCCCACATGCCACGGAGCAACTAGGCCCGTGAGCCACAACTACTGAGCCTGCGCATCTGGAGCCTGTGCTCCGCAACGAGAGGCCGCGATGGTGAGACGCCTGCGCACCGTGATGAAGAGTGGCCCCCGCTTGCCACAACTAGAGAAAGCCCTCGCACAGAAACGAAGACCCGACACAGCCAAAAAAATAGACAAATGTGGGATTTAAAATAAATAAATAAAATAACATAACTGGAGCAGACTCCGTCGCCAGTACTGGGTGTTGCTCATGCACCCAACATGCTCTGGGAAACATCTTCCCTGCCTGTCTCGGGATCCAAGAGGGAAAGAGAATGGACACATGCTCTTACCATTATCATTGCCTTGCTTGATTTCCTCTGCTGTCCGATCAATCAACACGTACAAAGACCAGACCACGCAGGTGATGGCAATGACGTGGAAGGTGACAGAGCAGAATATCTTCCTCCTCTCACTCCTGGTCATCTGCAGTTTCTCCCACTGCAATTACAAATGAATCACACACAACTGAATCCCCAACCCGTAAATGTTGCTCCCCATTTATACCCCAGGCATAAATCGTGAATCGAGGGAAAACACTGAAGAGCTGTCATTTAGATGACACTATAATACATAAGTCTTTGTGTTTGAAAAGATCTGAAATCATAACCCGTGGAGTTGTAATAACTTAAGCATGCATTAAAATGAAAAAAAAATTCCTATTCTCCAAATGAATTAAATTAGGTCATTCCTGGTTTGCTACCCTGTAAGTTCCCTTGTCTGTAACACGAAGGGGCCAGTTTTATACTGTACAATTTTCAGAAATCATTTCCACTCAGGTGTCTGCATATTACTTCTCTGTGGTCCTAGGTTATAAGCAGTAATACATAGTCTCTTCTTGGATTAATACATAACCTGATAGAGTGTTGCATTCTTGAATGTGTGAACTTAACAAGTATTTGAATGGTATCAGTGAGAGAAAATCAACATCTGTTCACAACTCTTCTAGAAGACAAATTTTATCCTCCTGGCAATGGGAGGTGGTCAGCTGCAACCCCTTCCAGAGCAGCCTTGCTTTTCTGCTGCCACTACTGTCACAACCACTGTCCCCAAGTCACACTCCTCAGAAAGTTGAGGGCTGCCCCCTCAGCCTTCGAAAGGGGGAGGGCCACAGTGTTTATAGTAAGAAGTCAAGGATTACATGAGGGAACATCTCCATTATTTACTTTGAAGTAATAAGCTCTCAAATGAAATTTTTGCTACCAAACAAAATTTTAATGCCTTGACAGTGACACTATCACTTGATTACTGTGTTAGGATTTGATCTTTATTTTTCTATAGGAAAATCAAACCACTATGATCTTATTAAATCATGGATTATTTCAGTAATCCATGATTCTTTACATTCTTTTTTCTTAAAAATTGAAGTATAGTTGATTTACAATATTGTATTAGTTTCAGGTGTACAGCAAAGTGATTGTTTTATATATATGTAAATGTATATATATATTCTTTTTCAGATTCTTTTCCATTATAGATTATTACAAGATATAATAGCTCCCTGTGATATATAGTAGGTCCTTGTTATCTGTTTTCTATATAGTAGTGTGTATCTGTTAATCCCAAACTCTTTTTTTTTTTTTTTAACATCTTTATTGGGGTATAATTGCTTTACAATGGTGTGTTAGTTTCTGCCCCACAACAAAGCAAATCAGTCATACCAAACTCTTAATTTATCCATTCTCCCACCCTATCCCCTTTGGTGACCAAAAGTTTGTTTTCTATTTCTGTGTCTATTTCTGTTTTGTAGATAGGTCCATTTGTATCTTTTTTTAGATTCCACATATAAGTGATATTATATTTGTGTCTGTCTGACTTACTTCACTTAGTATGATAATCTTTAGGTCCATCCATGTTGCTGCAAACAGCATTATTTCTGTGGCTGAGTAGTATTCCATTGCGTGTGTGTGTGTGTGTGTGTATGATATATCACATCTTTGTTACCCACTCCTCTGTCGATGGACATTTAGGTTGCTTCCATATCTTGGCTAGTAGTGTGAATAGTGCTGCTATGAGTCGTCACATTCTTTACCTGTTATGCTCTTGCTAAAGCAGAATTCTTAGAGCTTCAGAAGACACTCCTTTCCCATCCCACCCCACCATCATGCTCCATGAAGCCCTGGCTCTGCCACCAGCTCTGAGACATGGGTGAAGCCTTCGGTCTTTCCGGGCCCAGGTGCCTCATCTTCCTTAGAGTCAGAGATGTGACAGGTCTGGTGGAGAATACACTCCTCTCCTTTTCCTGCATTAACAGACCAAGCCTCTGAGGGTTGGCACTGTGCCAGCTGAAGCTACTTTCCCACCTTCCTGGCAGAGGTGACAAGGACTGTTTCCTACCGGTGAGATGTGAGTGGCTATCTCCCGGGATGCTGAGTTTTTGTCTTCCTGACATAGGAATTGCCCCTTCCTCCTTCATTTTCTCTCCTTTGCTATTAATTAGGAATTCCTAATTAATGGTAAAAGCCCCAACAGTCATCGTACAAACCTTGAGGAAAAGTCTTGAGAATCGGAGAGACCTCAGCCAGTCGACCACAGCTCACTCCCAGCTGCCTGTCATATGCGAGGGAAAGAAAGCCCCGTCTGACTGAGCCATTATTTCTCAGGCCTCTGCTCCTGGCTGTCAAATGCCATTCCTGATAGGATCAAATGGAAACCTCCTAACTTCCCTTCCGGTCTGAATGTGAAGGTCCTATCACTTCTTTGTGAGAGAGCACAATGCTTAGAGTCTGATCATGACCCTCTAGAAAGCTTCTTAAACATTTTAGAAAAATAAATGTTTTATTTACAAACACTATCCGTTCCTCTCTTGCTGGCCGGTTAGTCATCACAGAGTTTTCCTTACAGAGTCTGTTAGAGCCAACTAACCATTCGTACCTCATCTTGGACTTTCTTTTCCAACAAACTGTATGTTATATATTATTCTAACTAAATAATGGAAAAATCTTAGTGATGAAGCTATGGGGAAACCAGATGCTTCAATCTAAAATCTATTTTTAATCAATATTGAATTGAGAAGATTTCAGGATGTGCATCTTAGCTTTTATCAAAACTTCACATCATAGGTGTGAAAGATTTTTAAAATTTCATTTTGTTATTGATTTATTATGTTAATCTGAATAATTTGTGTGATAATAGAACAGAACATTATTGCTTGGCAACAGCATTTTGTGATTTAATAACTATTTCTTGGATTACCTCAGACTCCAGTATAACCAGATAAAAAGTGCAGGATGGTGCAGAAGGGCAGCTTTACATGTTCAAATTTCCTAAACGTTCCAAGCAGATGGCGATACCTTCATACTAAAATATTCATACCAAATCAACCCTCACTTGTAAGTCTGGCTTTGGGAAAAACGCTTAAAAAGTGAATCTTCGGGCTTCCCTGGTGGCGCAGTGGTTGAGAGTCCACCTGCCGATGCAGGGGACGTGGGTTCGTGCCCCGGTCCGGGAAGATCCCACATGCCGCGGAGCCTGCGCGTCTGGAGCCTGTGCTCCGCATACGGGGGAGGCCAAAACAGTGAGAGGCCCGAGTACCACAAAAAAAAAAAAAAAAAAAAGTGAATCTTCTTCAGTCTAAGGAGCGTTTTGATGAAGTGGCTGAAACACATTCTTCAAAAGTAATGAGCCTCAAATAGAAAAATATCAGCGGGGCTGACAGGGATGAACCAAACTCCTTTTAGTTCCAGACAATAGAGGCTCTGAAGCTGTCACTTCCTAATCTCAGCAGCGTTTTAAGAAGTGGAGTGTAAAAGGACCAGCAAACGTTGCTATTTTTCTTTACAGATCCTCTCAGGGACCACTCAGGAATTCACCAGACAGCACACGAGTAAACGCGGTACCACAGCGCCCTCCTCCTGACGATCATATCACTGCACACGATACCCAGCACCAGGCATTCACTGAAACGTCATCAATTTCATAAAATGTTCGTCCACATTTTTGTACTTTCAGGTTTATATACAAAGTTTGAATAAGTTTCGCAAGCCCCCCAGTGAGAAGTGGATCGAGAAGGCAAAGATAGAAATCTTATTTTAACAAAGTTGTCACGAAAGGGCAAATACTAATTTATTATTTGGGATGCTAAAATTCAACACCATCAGTTCGCAAAAGATTTTGTGATAGCACAGCGCTAATCTGCACAAATGCACATTGCAGCGGGCTTCCCTGCCCAGTTTTATAAAGTAATGGGTGCTTATGCCCACAGACCACGTGTCCTGAAACCCCCCCCGACCTGTGGAGCATTAAGGGGAGGGAGCCTCCTGGGTGCTCAGTTTTAAGCGGACACGTCTCTGCAGGGGGTCTCAGAGGAGCTGGTGGAAGTGAGCAGACGCAGCAGGGCGGGAGGGCAGGCCGCCTTGAGCGCCTGGGCCTCTTTCCTCGCCAGCCCTTGCCCTCCTCGGCCCGCTCGTTCCCTTCACCTGCAACACCAGCTTCACAATCTTAGCGCCTGGGACCTCGCTTCCCTTTACAGGATCCCTGGGTCTCTGGCACCTGTATACCGTCCTTAGCCTTAGGTCCCTTATCCAGACCCCTCAACGATAGAGAGAATTGAACAGAACTCCGTTATTCAACTTAGAAATATACAATTAGATCGTTCTGAAAAGACTTCCAAATTGGAGCCAAAATTGACGCAGATACTGTTTCTGTGAAATTCGCCGTTTGCTCTAGCGAGATGAAACTGATCAAGTTTTCTAATTTAAATTACTTGTATTTGCCTTCTGTCCTAAAATATAAATTCAAAAGCACTGCCTAATGAGAATGCTTTTTTAATGTATTTTTTGTTGAAGTATAGTTGAATTACAACGTTGTGTTAATTACTGTGGTACAGCAAAGTGACTCAGTTATACATATATACACATTCCTTTTTTAATATTCTTTTCTACTATGGTTTATCACAGAATATTGAATATGGTTCCCTGTGCTATACAGTGGGACCTTGTTTATCTATGGGGCAGAGGTTCTTAAAGAGCTTCCCTAGGAGCATCAGGATCAACATGGGACTTGTCAGTGTGACATTAACCAAAGGAGGAGGCCATTTGGCTGACGTGGCTCAGTGCCTGGGCGCCCACATGAACAAACCAAAATCTAAGCCTCTAGACGTCTCACAATGGACACCAGTCAGAAAGTGTACACGATGCGAGCTGGTCCCTCAACAGAATTACAAATAACCAGGTACACAGACTGCCTGGTTTTCTTGCTAAGAGTCAAAACCTCAAATGTGACATCCATAAATGTTCTGTGGGTCTACCGCAATCTCCTGGAAAAACTCTCCCCCCCCTCATAGTGTTCTGTTCCCTTTTTGTCCACCAATAATTACTACTTAGCATCGTTTATGCATGGTCCCACGTGAAGGGGTATTATACATTTCTGATTGAATGCAGCTCCTCCATTTCCCGTGGTATCAGGACAAGAGGAAATGGCCTCACGCTGCAGCAGGGTCT